GGGACAGCGAGTGCGCTGGGCGCAGCGGGACGAGGAGCACGCACCGGCCGGGTTCGTTGCAGCATCTTTGGGGGGTCATTTTTTTTGGCTGGGAGGGTGGGGGTGGTGATGTAGGGGATGAGCTCAGCTTGCTCTTAGGAGAACAGGAGGATGAGGAGCGGGACGGCCCGTGCCACGAGCGATCCCTGTGGCAGAGGGTCCTGCCTGCGCCGTGTGCCAGCTGTAATTACCGAGCTCACAAGGACCGCAGGGGCGAGGACACTGTTAAAATCTGCAAAAAGCTGCTATGTCCATCAGACAACGACCCTCAGCCCTGAGGGGTGCTCTGGGGTGTCTGGACCCCAAACTCAGCCACTCGGCGCTGCCGCGGCTGCAGAAATCGGGACAATGCGGATCGCGGCACGGCCTCATTTCTGTCTTTGCTCTCTGCACACCAGTGACCTCCCGCCCGCTTCCCGCGCTGGTTTTGGCTCTGGCCACAGTCTCCCGGGAGGCTTTTGCCCTTGGAGAGACTCCAACRCAGCCAGGTATTTGGGGGTGGACAAGGTTGCTCCTGGGCACTAGGAGTGGGCTGAGGACGCCGACCTGTCTCTGCGGAGCGGACGGGGACGAGGAYGAGGATGCTACATCTTCCTCCCTCATCCCAAAGCACTTTTGCAAAGAGCAGGAAAGTTGAATCCGCGGATTCCGTCTCACGTCTTGCAAGCCAGCTAATTGTGGTGCTTGCGAAGCGCCGGAGCTCGCCTGAGCACGCAGAGTCCTTTGCACTCGCTGTGTTCCAGCGCCAGCTTGACGCTCTTTTCCACCCTTTTTCCCCTCAGATCAGCAACTCCCAACTGCCAGGGCAGCGAGGGGGAACGAGGGTGCTCGGGGTGCTGCGTTGGCTCCTCTGCGGATCTCGTTTGGCACCGTCTGCCCGCGGCGGCCGGCGCCGAGCCCTCTTCTCTCCATTAAATTACTGCCTGCCCCGGTTAATCCCGAGCTGATTAATTTGGGCTCCGTGTCTGGGCCTCCRTCAGGTTTCATCCATCTCACCGTGTGTACGGCATGTACCGGGCTAGCCCTTAAGCTGATTTWTATATATATATATTTATATATGTATAAGCATAGAGGGGGCAGGGGAAACTGCCAGCTTCCACCAGGTTTTTCCACCAAACATTCCCAATGTGGCATGGGGGGCTGCCCGATCCCAAGCCCTGCTGCTTGAATTCCCATYCGTCACTCCAGTGGCCGCGGGAATGGGGCACTAGGGAAAAGGCATCACCCTTTGCCCCTTGCTTGGCGTAGGTGGGATGCAAGGTCCTTTCCCCACCTCGGCTCTCCCATCCCCACCCTGGCCAGGCTGCAGGGGCCATTGSTGTGATGAGTGGTCAGTGCTCAGTGCAGGGGAGCTGGGGACCTGCTGTGCAATGTCTCCGAGTCCCGCGCGGCTGCGGGGAGGCTTGAGAGGATGGGGGGAGAGTCGGGAGGATGCAGGATGTGCGTGAGGTTTGACCAAAGGTGGGAGGAAAAAAAAATCCCCCAAAACTGGAAAGGGAAAGGGAAAAGGAAAAGGAAAAGGAAAAGGAAAAGGAAAAGGAAAAGGAAAAGGAAAAGAAAAAATCACCCCCAAATCTCCCTGCAGTTTGGGATGGGTTTGAAGGTACAATTTAGGTCCCGCATGTGGCCCCAAGGCTCCTCTGGGACCCGGTGGAGGACTTGGTCCTTTCATTACTGACGTGGAAAAAGGACGAAGGACAGAAAAGAAGCTGGAGCAAGCGGGGAATTCAGGTGACGGATCCCGACGGAGCAAAGGAGCGTCAGCCGGAGAACTGTGCCGGCACCTCCTCCCTGCCCGGGGCGGCGGGAGGAGGAGGAGGGTGGGGGGTGTGGGAACGAAGGCTGCAGCATCCCCTGCTCCCGCCCCCCTCCACCCACCCGTCCCAAAGCACCCAGGAGCCAAAAACCCCAAAATGGGCAATGAGGGGACACAAATACCCCCCTTCAAACAGCAATATTACCCGGGATAKATCAGTCTTCACTTATTTATTTATTAACGGTGCCCACGGCTCCCGCGGCCGCGGGCTGCAGGTAGGGTTGCGTCCGTGGGAAATGTTCATTTCCATCCTGGTAGCACCATTATTAATTGAAAATCATGTATTTTTTGAAAGGTTATGACGTGCTGCAAATCTTTTAGGGACTCCCTGGGGGAGAAAAACTCACTCCTCACTCCGTGATGTTGGAGTCGAGACTTCCAAGCCCACCGAGGGCTGCAAACCCCCTCGCTTGCCAATGCTATCAAGTCAACAGCAGCAACATTAAATTGCTTTATCTCGAGCAGACATGCCTGGATCCGCCCCCACCTGTCCCATACATCCCTATATGTATTTAATAATCCTCTGGCCGCAGCACAGACTGGTACCTCCTCCCTGCTGTGGGAACAGGGACAAATGTGGCCCCAATTTAGGAATTTGCTGGTGAGGGAAAAAAAAAATCCACGCAGTCTCTGGAATGACCTTTCCTTCTTTCTGCCTCGCTCACGGCTTTGCTTCCCCCCTGTCCTCGGCCAGGGATTTCAGCTAAAGGGTATTAGTTAATCAGATTCTGCCAAGCAGATGTTAGGTGATTTAGGCAAGGGGACAGGAAAAAAAATGAGCTGACTTTGTAGCTCCAGCCTCGGTGTTAGGAGCAGCTCAGATTTGCACCGGGTCGTCACTCTGCAGCTTTAGGAAGCACCACTCGCTTTGGTCTCCGTTTCAAGCCGGGGCTCCAGAGGGTTTGGGAAAGCTGACATAGCCTAAAAGGGGCATCCTGCGCCATGAAGATAGATTTTTGGGTGGGAAAGTGGTCATTTTGCCGCTCCCGGCTGCTCCCAGGCCGTCCCGCGTTGCTCCAAGCGTTTCGAACGCTCACGGCTCCCGCCGGCGTGCGGCTTTGGGAGCAAAGCGCGGGTAATGCCGCGAAATGCCCGGCTCATCCCCCGGGGCTCAGCCGGGAGCGGCTGCACGGGCCGCTTAAGCCGCTCCCGAGCGCACGCGGGTCCCTCCACCACAGATCCCACCACCAGGACGTGTGTTTTCCTCGGCTCCCAGTTGCTGGCACTGGGTTTTCCAAGCCTGACTTGCCAAGAGTAAGAAATTAGTGGGGAAAACATACCTAAAAAGCAGAGCAAGACACTTAGGGACACCAAAGTTAAGGGAACGTGAGCTTTAAGAGGGGTGCTTTAGTTTATGGCCCTAAATGCAAGCATCTCATGGGTTTGGGGAATAAAGGGAAAGGCTGAGCCCTTCGCTGGATGCCAGCACCTCTGCAAGGGTTGGCCTTCTTTGGTGGCAATGACGTGGGGAGAAGAAGGATCTGTGGCAAGACAGGGTGTTCACATCTGCTTCTGCAACAGGATTGGGCCAAGGGCTCTGCCGAGCTTGGCCCTGCCCAACTGTGTTGGCTTCTCCCTATCCAACTGCATCCGCCTTGTCCCTACCCAACTGTGTCCTACCCAACGGTGACTATCTTGTCTCTACCCAGTCTGGACAGCAGAGCATGGGGCGGAGGAACGGGGAAGGAAAATAGCAGGGATCCGATGTTGGTTGAACGAGGAGGTTCCGGAGGTCAGCAGGGATTTCAGGAGCCCCGGGAAGCTCTGGAAAGGAGAAATGATGAGTGGATAGGTCCAAGTGGCGTCACTGTGATGGAGCCAAGCCCAGCCTGTCAGCATGTGGCAGGTCTGCAAAGGGATTACAGTGTCCATGGAGAGCAGTCCCTACTTTTCCACCCAGACGTGGCCTAAATTGCATCGCTATTCTGGGCAATTCAGGGCAATTTGGTTTTTTTTTTTTTTTTCAGTCCTTCTCTCTGAACATTACCAGCAAAGAAAGCCAACCTGTCCTTGATGATTTGTGCTCATGTGTAGGAACAAGCACTTTGGTGTGTCCTATGTTTTTCTTTCATGTGCAAAAAATTACCTTTGCAGGTGGAAGAGGGGGGAAATAGCGAGCTTGGAGATCTCCCAGGAAATCAGAGGTCTCAGTTCGTTGGAAAGGGCCCGTTTGCTGGGCAATTTGCCCCAGGATGTTTCCCCATCAAACACTGGTTTCTCTTTGCGTCTCTCCCAAAGCAGTGCAGGTCATTGTCCATCGCCATAGCTTGGCCTGGAGCCCAGGCTCTGCTCTGACACTGCTGAGCTTGAGCAATGCAAGTTCAGCTGCTACAAGTCAGGGTGACGGGAACCTAGCAGAATTTTGGGTGGCCAGAGCCTTTTACTCGTGATGACACCGGAAGGCTTCACATCACCATCCATGAGATGCTCTCCAGGCTCTTGGAATGACCTGAGAACATCCTAGGAAGGAGACCTAGGACAGTTCTGGAGCGTGTTTAGCACCTCAGACTCCCRCCTTAGTCTAGAGCTGATGAGGAAAGGACAGATGGGACATCCATGTCCATCTCCACCTTCTGCTGTCACTACTCCTTAATTCTTGGGTTCTGTAAACACTTTTTGGAAGTTTACTGAAAATAATGATCAATATAAAAGATCCTGTGCTGAAAGACAGTCTGGAAAGTTTACTGTGTTGAACAGTCAATTAAATTAGCCTCTCCTCTCCTCTCCTCTCCTCTCCTCTCCTCTCCTCTCCTCTCCTCTCCTCTCCTCTCCTCTCCTCTCCTC